GAAACTATTTTTATCCCTCTCCAGAATTAAACAGAAATCCTGATTCACAGCATTTACCATTTTCTAGGGTGTAAATATTCCCACCACAGTTGATTTCAAGTTATCAACCTGGCATCATTGAATACAGAGGTGGGATGAGATAATCAACAGCACACAGGACATAGTTTTTCCACCAGAGAGATACAGTGGAGATAAATAACCTCAAGAGCATGGTAAAATGTAATAAAATAATTAGAAAGTGATGAATTTTAAGTATTATGATTTAATAGACTACTTATAATTTATCATTTAATTTTTAATAATATCTGTGTCTCAGGCAGCAGTCTTTCTGTCACCTGTGACTATGCAGGTACTTCCTTTCACCAACTCATCCCTCTGCAGGGCAGCAGCCTTCCTGCCTGCGGGTGACCTATGCCATGCCGGGACTTCTCACTGACCTCCCTTGGCAGAGGCAGCTCTCCTCAAGGCCGCTTTCCTGTGCCCATGCAGGCCTCTCTCAGCAAACCTGTCCCCTTTGGGGCAGCTCTTTCTGCCCGCTTGTGTCTATGCAAGTGTCTTCTATTCTTCTGTCCCTTTCTCTAATAAACCAGCTCTTTAAACATAAAAAAAAAAAAAAAATCTGTGTTTCTTAACTCACAGAAATTTCTGAAATTTTGACAATTGCTCTTTCCAGCTCTGGAAAGAGGTTCGGTAACTTGCATATTCAAATGTCATCCCTCCACCGCTCTGACCATTGTCTTATCTACTGATGCTTGCCGTAACCAAGAGAGCTTGTCAGTTCTTCTGGAGAATCAAATATAACCAGATACAATGGGGGACATGAAAGAAAGGAAATGACTATGGTACAGTGTAATAAGTGCTGTTCTTTATGCAGTGTAGTGCGTCCACTGTGGTACTGAGGAAAGAGGAGTCAGCCCTATCTTAGTAAGGTGACACTTAGGCATTCATCAACAGTGGCTGCCAACATCACAAGAGTCCCCCTAGAGCCTCCCTGATGGCGCAAGGGGTTAAGTCTCAGCGCTATGAAGCTATCTGCAGCCACTGAAGCATGAGTTCGACCCCAGGCCAGGGAGGTGACCCACATGGCACAGCAGACATCTCCTGTCTCACCCGCTGCTCTCAGCAGTGTATTTCAGTCAATCTGCCTGAATCCTCTCACTCTGTCTCTGGTGAATCCTCTCCCCTCCCCACACCTATGGCCTGTACCCCAGTTCTTATATGCATAAATAAATATTTAAAAAAAAGTCACCCTGACATTAGGTGACTCCTGATGGCAGAACTACCACCTCCTATAAAATAGGTGTGTCAAAAACAAAATTCAATCACCTGTATTTGATTTATTACCTACATTGGATTATAAATTTAGAGAAAACCAGAAGACAAAGTACCATCTTAAACTACCCAAAGGGACTGAATCAACAAAATCCAGACTGAGAAAAATGCTATAGGACAAATGATCCAAATAAATTGCAAGGGAAAAAATGTATGAATCTTACTAAGACTGTCATTCAAATAAATTGAAAATAAACTTCCCAACAAGACAGTTAGGTAAATATGAAAACTGACTAAATATTATATGATATTAAGAAAATATTTAGTTTTTTGTTATATAATATTATTGTAACTATATTTTATGAAAAAGAAAATTTCCTATCTTTATTACTGAAATGCTTAGAGCTGAGAGAAGGTAGGATAGCTACAACCTGTTTCAAAGTTTTATGAGGACTTTTTTTTTTAAGATTTATTTATTTATTTATACAAGCACTGGGTCTGTAAAGTCAGAAGCGCAGGAGGGTGAGAGAATTCACCAGAGTCAGAGCGGGGAGCAGAGCAGGCAGACTGACGAAATACACTGCTGAGGGGAGCAGTGAGGGAGCTGAGGGGAGATTTGTCAATAAATGGCCTTGGGACACCTGGATACCCACATGCAAAAGAATGCAGTTGGAATCCTACCTCACTCCATATACAAAATTAACTCTTAAGTGAATTTTAGGCCTAATAGAGTTAAAGCTACAAAATTCTTAGAAGAAAACATAGGATTAAGTCTCTATAACCTTGAGTTAGACAATGAGTTCTTAGATTGACACCAAAAACACAAGTAATAAAGGTAAATTGGACTTCTTTTTTTTTTTTTAAAGATTCATTTATTTATTTATACAAGCACTGGGTACAGTCAGAAGCGCGGGAGGGTGAGAGAATTCACCAGAGCCAGAGCGGGGAGCAGAGCAGGCAGAAGGACCGAAGTACACTGCTGAGGGGAGCAGCGGGCGGCAGGAGAGGTCTGCGCGCCATGTGGGACCCTCAGCCGGTGGCCGGGGAGCAGCCGGGGATCGAACCGGCTCTGCAGAGGCTGCGGGCAGCTTCGCAACCCAGCGCTCAACCGCTGCACCACCAAGGAGGCCCTGGACTTCATTTTTAAAAAAAAGTGCTGCAAACTACCAAAAAATTCATACTGCAAAAAATCCACAGAATGAAAAAAAAGTATTTTAAAATCATATCTCTGGTAAATTGTATAAAGAACTTTTGCAACACAACAAAAAGATAAATAACCAAATTTTGAAATGAAGGATTGAATAGGTATTTCTCCAGAGTTAATATATAAATGTCTACTAAGCACATGAAAAGATACAGCACCATTATTTATTAGGGAAAATGTATATCAAAACCACAATGAGATACCACTTTATACCCATTAGGATGGCTACAATTAAAAAGACAGACAACAGGTGTTGGCAAAGCTGTGGAGATACTGGAATTGGGAATGTTAGATGTTGCAGTCATTGTGGAAAACAATTTGGCAGTTCCTCTAAAAGTTAAAAGTACGGGCCTCCCTGGTGGCACAAGGGGTTAAGACACAGCCTATGAAGCCATCCGCAACCTTTGCAGCACAACTTTGATCCCCAGTCAGGGAGCTGCCCACACGGCGCAGCAGACCTCTCCTGACTGTCCCACTGCTCCCCTCATCTGTACTTCAGTCGATCTGCCTGTTCTGTTCCCCACTCTGTCTCTGGTGAATCCTCTCACCCCCACACCTCTGGCCTGTACCCCAGTTCTTGTATGCATAAATAAATAAATCTTTAAAAAAATTGAAAAAAAGGTAAAAGTAGAGTTAACATATGACCTGGAAACTTTACCACTAGGGAAATGAAAACATGTTCTCACAAAAACTTGCACACAAATGTTCACAGCAGCATTGTTTATGATGCAAAAAAAAAAAAAAAAAAAAAGGAAACAGCCCAATGTCAACTTATGAATGGATAAACCAAATGTCCATACAGTGGAATATTATTCAGCCATGTGGGTTAGGCCCCTGGCTGGGGATGGAACTTCTGCTGCAGTGGCTGCTGATAGCTTCATGGTGAGGCCCCTTGCGCCACCAGTGAGGCCCCCAAGTTGGGTCACTTTTCATCCACTTGCTCCTTTTGGGGTTCTCATCCTGCCCTCCCTTCCTTCCTTAGACTCCTATATTTTCACGTTTCCTATTTTCTTCCCTTCCACCATGTTCTCTTCCCACTCCACAGGGAAGAACCCACACCCACAGACCCAAAAAAAGCTCTGTCCATCTGGGGACCCCAAATTGCACCTCTGTGGTGTTTGAAGGAAGGAAAAGCCTGAGGGGAAGCTCCTCACTCTCCCTGGCCTCCCGCGTGGGGCTGCCCCTGCGGGCCTGAGGCAGGAGGCCTGCCTTCCCTCACGGCACGGGTTGCTTCCTGCTGTGTGGCCCCGGAGCACAGCATTTCTGCTCTTGGAGTTCCTGTTTCTTTCCTCTGCAAAAGATGGAGAGTGAGCACGTGATCAGAAGCGTCTCTTCCCTCTGAGAAGTTGGGTCCATTTTCTCTGATGCCATTTCTCTCAGGGGTTCAGGTCATAGGACGGGCAGTACCTGTCACCTTGGGAAAAAACGGTTTTGTGTACGTGTGTGTGTCCTCTTAGGGCCCGGGACTGAGGAGCAGAGGCCGTGGAGCCCCCAACGAGCCAGCCCCCCAGGGCTCACGCCCGCTTCTGGGTGCCCGCGCCCAGCCCTGGGGTACCTGGCCCTCGCCAGGCCTGCGCCGCCGCCGCCCACCTGCAGGAGGCGCTGCGGACACACGGCGAGGGGGGCGGCTCCCGGGAAGGGCTCCGGGAAGGCGCTCGGGAGCCAGCGCGGAGAGGGCTGCAGGGGGAGGCGAGGCGAGCTGAGGAGAGCAGACGAGGGAAAGGGACTAAGAAGGGCCGGGCGCCCGGGAGCGCGGACGCCCCCCCAGCACATGCTCGCCCTCGGCGTCCTCGCCTCTCGGGGCGCGCCACGGAGGAGCCGCTGTGCCGGGCGCCCGGCTCCGGGCGTGGGGAGCCCCGCACGAGGGCGCGGGGAGCTTGGAGGCTGCCCGAGGTGGGGCCGTCGGGGAGGAGTCGGGCGGCCGCAGCGGCAGGCAGTAGGATCCGTGGCCGCAGCCGGGGCCGGGGCACCCCCTGCCATCTGCGCTCGCGCGCAGCCTGCACCTCGGTGACGGGGCTGGCCCGCTGGAGGTGAGGAGCGTCCCACAGGCGGCGGCCTCGGGGGGACCCGCCGCGGTGGATCCGGCCGGCGCTTTGGGCAGCGGAGCGGGGCCCGGCTCGGGGTGGGGGGCGAATCCCGGGGCGAGGGCCCGCGTCGCCCCGGGGAAGGGCCCAGACGCCCTCTGCGGGGCGGGAGGACGAGCCCCTAGAGCCGGCCCCGCAGATGCCCCTTCGGGTCTTCGACTCCCCTCGGCGGCCCCCGCGCCCCGGGCCCGCGCGGTCACCTGTGCGCCCCGGAGGGCGGGCGGGGCGGCCGGGCCGGGAGGCGGGACTTGGCGCGGCGGGCGCGGGCCGGGGGTGGGGCGAGGGCCGGGGGCGGGGGCCGGCGCCCCGCGGGGAGCCCGGCCACGTGACACCGCATCCCGGCCGGGCCGCAGGCGGGGAGCCGCGAGCTGGCGGCGGGAGCCCGCGCGGCGCAGGACCGGCCGTCGGGGCCGCAGGACGCCGGCCCGGGCGCCCATGCCATGGAGAAGCTGGCGGCCGGGCTGGCGGGCCTGCGCTGGAGCATGGGCGCCTTCCCGCTCGACCTCATCGTCAGCCGCTGCCGCCTGCCCACGCTCGCCTGCCTCGGGCCAGGTACCGGGGTGCAGGGAGGGCTGCGGGGGCTCCGCGGGGACCCTCCCGGCAGGTGCTAGCGGGGTCGTGGAGAGGCTGCTCCCGCTCTCCTGGGCCCGGCGGGGGCCCGGCTCGCCCCCGGCGCGCCTTCCCGGGAAGCCGAGGGTCCTCGAGCCGGGGGTCCGCTCTGCCCGGGCCCGCCGATGGCACCGGACACCACCCGGGTCGGCGGCCGGGCCCTGCGGAGTCCCACGGCCAGGCTGCCGCCCGGAGCTTGGCGAGCCCCGCGCCCGCCCCGTCGGTGCACCTCCTGGCCCCGCCGCTCGCCGGACCCCGGCCCGGGCCGCGCCCCCCTGCGTCTCTTTGTCTCCGGCCTCTCACCTCCATCCTCCGCATCTCGGGGTCCGGGCGCTGCCTTCCCACGCCGCCACCCCCAGCCCGCTCCGCCTCCGCCCGGCCCGCGCTCGCCCCGCCCGGCGCGTCCAGGAGAGGCCCCGGGTCCTGGGGGCGGGCGGGCCCCTCCGGGGAGCCCGCGTGAGGGGGTCGGCCCGCCGCGTGACGTCCGGCCCCCGCCCTCCCCCCCAGGTCGCCCCACTTCCCCCGGGCCCAGCGCCCCGGCTGTTCTGCCGACGGGGCCGGCGCGGCCGGGAGGGGCCGCCGGGCCGCCCGGGGCGAGGGGCCGCCGGGGACGGGGGCTGCGCGGCGGGGGAGGGGCGGGCGCCGGGGCTGGCAGCCAGGCCGGGGGTTTTGTGTGCGAGAAGAATAGGGGTTTGGCCCGCGTTGGCACGCTCGCTTCCCTGAATGCTAATGGGCCCCGGCCCCCGGCTCCCCTCCCGGGCGCGCAGCCCCGCCTCGCCCGGGCGCCGCGCTCTGGGCACCGTCGGCCGCAGCTCGTGGCGGCGTTGGGCGCCGCGGCACGTCCAGGCCCCCCGGCGGGCAAGGGTGCCCGCAGCCGGCGTCTTTCTCGCCCCACGGTCTCGGGATCGCCAGCTTGGGGTGCCCAGCAGCCGTGTCAGCGGCGAGGCCGCGCGCGCCTGCGGGGCCTGCGGGTGCTCGGCTCTGGGGCCCGCCGGGCGCCTCCCGCACCTCCGCGTGCCAGCCCTCCCCGGTCCCTGCGGAGGTGCCCAGCCTGGGCCGGGCCCTGTGGGTTCCTTCACACCTGTGGCGCCCCCGTTGTCTCCCGCATGGCACCCCGTGAGAGCAGGTAGTTTGTTCTTCCCACTGGGCTGCAGCCCCCGGGGAAGGGCCTCCTCCTTCACGGAGCACAGCTGGCAGAGCAGGGCAGTGAGTGTGCAGCCCGTGTGCGCCCGGCCGCCTGTGCCAGCCGGACTGTGGTCCCGTGTGTGTGATCAAAGTGTGTCTTCCAGTCTCCAAGCTTCCCGTGCGCCTGTGCATGCCGGAGGGCCCCTGCTGGGACCGTGGGGCCGCGCTGTGTCACTGGGGTGACAGGCGAGTGGCTGTGCTGACTCCACTCTTGGTGACCGTGACCCATGGTTGTGGGTGCGTGCCCTGTGGAAGGATGGGCTGGGGGAGTGTCAAGAGGACACTGTCCTGCAAGGCAGGACGGCTGCCTCTGCCCCAGAAGGTGAGGCATTGAAGAGGACGTCTCCGTTCCCCCCACCAACACACACACGTGCACACACACACGCACACACATGCACACACACAGTGGGCGCCAGGCCCTCAGTAAAGGTCCTGAACACTTTTCCTCCCCACCCCTATACCCACTTGTACAGTCCTCATGGACACCCCAGCTTTCAGAGTAACTCGTTTCCCATCTGTTGGTGGGGTGTGGGGTGGGGAGAAGTTTAAAAACTTGTGTCTTGGAGGGGCCTGGAAGCAGCATTCCCCACCCCCACCCTGCCCACCAGCTGCAGCCAGGAGACAGCTCCGCTGGCCTCCTGGAAGCTGGGCCAGCCTTGCCTGCTCGCCTGCTTCCCTGGAAACCGTTGCTGGGTTTGCAGCCTCCCGGCCCAGACCCCTCCCAACACCTCTGCCCCAGCTCAGCTTTCGCTAGGTCTAGACCCCCACCCCCTCCTTAAGTCTACCTCCCCAGGCATCATCACTTTGTTCCCCCAAGTCTGGGAGAATGAAGGCTGTGGGAGAGACAAGCCAAGAAGCAACTCTTCTGAGATGGGGCTGGGCGCATCTGAGACTCACCCCCTGTTTGAAGATGAGGTTCCCCTGAATGCAGAGACCGCCTGTGGCAGTGGGTGAAAAGGAACAGCGATGACAGAGCCAGGAACCAGCTCCTCTAAGCCCTGCCATTCTCCTGACCTAAGCTCTAGATGGCTCTGGGGGAGCCCTCGCAGCCAGGACCCACACCCGCAGCCCCTTCTCAGCCAACTCTGTTCACCCAACAGGGTCCTCTTGGCCTGGCCTAGGCAGTGACTGGGGCTAAGAATCCTGCTGAATGAACTCAGGTGGTGCTGAGGCCCATCTCAAGGGTGTCCTGCTCAGAAAGTCTCCCTCACCCCCACCCCCACCCCCAGCCAGAGTTTGCTGCTCTCAGTGAGAGCCCAGCACCTGCCACTACTGCCTCAGACGTGGCCTGTATTCTGAGTTCATGTCTCCTCCCACCTCCCCATGGGTCTAAGGGTTCCTGGAGGGCAGGGCTGGGCTCATGCCCCGGGAGCTCCTGCCCCCAGCACAGGGCCTGGGACAGCAGGCACTCGGATTGAATGATGAATGAAGGATGGCGGCCCGGCTGTTTGCTGGGGTGCCATCAGGAACCAGAGCCCCAAGAGGCAGGGCCTGATTTAACTGCCCCGAGGCCGCAGCTGGCAGCCTGCTGTCCCTCCAGCATGGCTGACCTGGGCGGGGATCCTGGGGAGCTGTCCTCAGACAGGGTCTTGGTGAGGAGGCGCAGAGGTTCTTTCTGCCCCTCCTGATGTTTTTCCTTCCCTTTGGCTTCTATCCTCCCTTTCCCTTCCCAGGAGAGTATGCCGAGGGCGTCAGTGAGCGAGACATCCTGCTTATTCACTCCTGCCGGCAGTGGACCACAGTGACAGCCCACACCCTGGAGGAGGGCCACTATGTCATCGGACCCAAGATTGACATCCCCCTGCAGTACCCAGGTGTGCCCAGCCAGGGACAGATGGCATAAAGCTTATGGGGGGGAGTGTAGGCAGGAGGGGGGGGGCTGGGGAAGGGGGAGGGGTTGGTGACCTGCTTCCCTGAAGCCGCAGGCCTGAGCTAGAGCAGGGTGGACAGGGTGGTGGCAACGTGGTGGCCCTGCTGAGTGAGGGCCCAGTGGTTTGCATGTGCTCCTGGAGCCCTGGGTTTCTGGAGAGGTGACTCCCAGGATTGCAAACCTGGATTCACATTTTATGTCAAATAGATTTTAAGCTAGTGATTAAAAAATATACCTTTAAAAAACTACACATCAAGCCTTCGCCCTAATTGGAGAGCTTCAGTGTATACCTTGAGCTGCCTTTTAGCCTTTTTTTGAACACACCCTCCAGGAGAAGGTCTCCTGCCAGCATCTTCTCAGCGTTGTGCAACCAAAAAACTCAGAAACAAAGAGAGGCTCAGGTTGATTATCCGGCTGCATCAACTCTGATCCTATTTGTCCCATTTTTTGTGTGAAACTCATTGTTTTCATTGATTGACTTTAAAACTGAATGTTAACATCTCAGAGTTTGAAAGATTATGCTCATGAGCTTCAACTTTGATCAGTTTTATGCATGATGTTAATTTTCTAAAAAAGATTGTGTCTGAGGAAAAGATTCTGCTGCTAGAAAAACCAAGTGTAGCCCTTTCGTTTTGCACCCGATGAAAAGGGTCTAAGAAGGAAGTGACTTGTCCAGGGTCACAAGCTAGAAAGTCAGAAGCCAGGTGTCCTGAACTGAGCTGGTGTACTCTGTCTGGCACCAGGTGTGCAGGATTACTGCCCTCTGAGGGAAGGTGGGGCCACCAGTCTCCCAGCCTGAGCCCAGGACACCCCAGCTCCTGCGTATTAATACGAGCTGTATTCCAGACACTGGGCCAAGCATTGCCTTCATTTCATCCTCTCGGCAAACCCGTGAGAAAGTCTGATTAACTTCACTTCACACACATGGAAACGGAGGCTCAGAAGCCTCAGTGCACCTTCTGTCCTATGTTTTTCATTACAACCCTGCCCCCCCAATGGTTGGGAATCCCCTGAGCTGGAGAGACTCCCAGTCCCATCCTCACAGGTACACTTTCCCCTTCTGGCCCTGCCTGAGTCTCCCCTGAGCCGGTAAATAAGGTCCAAGCCTCTGACACAGCTTCTGCTTTTTTTTTTTTTTTAAGATTTATTTATTTATTTATTTATTCAAACCCTGGGTACAGTCAGAAGCGCGGGAGGGTGAGAGAATTCACCAGAGCCAGAGCGGGGAGCAGAACAGGCAGACCAACGAAATACACTGCTGAGGGGAGCAGTGGGCGCAGCAGGAAGGTCTGCGCGCCATGTGGGACCCTCACCCGGAGGCGGGGAGCAGCCAGGTCGCAGCCGGGGATCGAACCGGCGCTGCAGAGGCTGCGGGCAGCTTGGCAACCCAGCGCTCAACCGCTGCGCCACCGGGGAGGCCCAGCTTCTGCTCTTTATAACAACCTCGTGCAGCTGGCACCCCCATGTAGCCCCCAGACCCCTTAAAACAGTGAGGAAACTATCTTAACAGCTTTTCTGACCTGGTTCTGTCCTGGCCTGGGCGCCTTTAGCAAGAACTGTCCAAGCTGGATGTTTCCCACCTTGGTGTCAGGCCGTGGCCCCGGGAGAAGTCTCAGCTCATCTTCTTGGGCTGAAAGTGCCGGCTGGGAGAGTCGCTGCTGACCGAGGCGCGACGGGCCGGCGGCCGCTTCACTCGGGATCCGGGGAACCTGCGCGGAGCCCCCGGTGTCCAGGGCCCAAGGCCCCCAGCCCTTCCTGCCGCTCCCACTGGTGCCCCCTCCACTGCGTGTCCGTTTGGGGGGTGACAGCTGCCTGCAGGGGCCTCGCGGCCCCGTCCTTCTTCGCGGTGGGCTTGGGGGAGGGGAGGCCGAGGCCCCGGGGGCCGGGCGGGGCTGGCGGGGCGAGTTAACGCTGCGAGCGGGCGGGCGGGCGCGCGGATTCCGCCTAATGAATTAACAATGACGCGGGAGCCGCGTGGGGGCGGGGGAGGGGAGGGGAGCGGAGGGCGGCGGCGCCCCGGGCCACCCGGGCTCCCCCCAGGCAGCCCCCCACCGGCCCAGCCCGACGGCCCGACGGCCCCCTGCGGCGCGGGGCGCCCCTGGGTGTTGCGCGCGCCCCGCCGTTCTGCCCCGGGAAAACTGGAGCCCAGAGGTTCTTTTGCCCTCGGGCACCGGCTGTTTGGTGGCAGAACTGGGGTTCGGCCCCTCGCCCGTCTTCGGAGCCCCTGGGTCCGCCCGTCATTCTTCGCGGGGCGCTGCCGCGGATGCGCGGGCGGGAGGGGGCTCGAGGCTCCGCGTCCGAAAGGCCCCCCTGGCGGTGGGGCAGCTCCGACGCGCCCGGCGGGCCAGGGGAGAGCAGGCCCCCAAATGCGGGGACCTCGTTAAGGGGTGCAGGAAGGAAGCTGCCCCCGTGGGCCGCAGCGGGCGGAAGAGGCTTCCAGGGGCGGCGGCCCCCCGGGAGCTCCCCCTTCCTCGCTCCCGGCCGCGATGACCCGGGCTGCTGCTGGGGCGGCGCTGCTGCCATGGTTACATCGATCTCCCGGCCGCATCCTCCCCGGCTCCGGCCCCACTCGGCTCCAGCGCTCCCCACAGGGGCAGCGGCGTTTCTCCCGGCCCGGCTGGGGGCGGGGGAGTCGGGGGGGGTGTGTGGGGGGTGTGGTGGGGGGTGTGGGGGGGTGTGGAGCTGGGGGAGGAGGGGCTGGGAATACTTGCTGTTGGGTGATGGGGGACCCTGCCTCCTGCCGCTGGACCCCTGCTCCTGCCCAGGCCCCTCCCCAGGTTCACCCCTGCTGCCCTCGGGGCTGTGGCACACCCTAGACCCCTTCCTGAGGGTCTCAGAGTGGCTATGGCAGGAGGAGGGGGCTCCCTCCGGCTTTCTCCTGTGCATCTTCTCTTTCTTGGATCATTTCTCTTCCTCTTCTAGGTGTCACTGCAGCAGGCATGCCCTGGGCCTCTGCTTTCACACTCTGCACTAAGGGGTCTTTTTTTTTTTTTTTTTTTTTTTTTTTTTTTTTTATAGAGGCATGCTTTATTTATTTGTTTGCTGGTTTGTTTGTTTGTTTTGTTTATACATGCACTGGGTACAGTCAGAAGCGCGGGAGGGTGAGAGAATTCACCAGAGCCAGAGCGGGGAGCAGAGCAGGCAGAAGGACCGAAGTACACTGCTGAGGGGAGCAGCGGGCGGCAGGAGAGGTCTGCACGCCATGTGGGACCCTCCTCTGGTGGCCGGGGAGCAGCCGGGGATCGAACCGGCGCCGCAGAGGCCGCGGGCAGCTTCGCAACCCAGCGCTCAACCGCTGCGCCACCGGGGAGGCCCTGCACTAAGGGGTCTTAATCTGGGTTTCTGACAGGATTTGGGGGCTCCGGGACCCGTCGCGCCAGATGTGAAGTGCTGTGTGTGTGTTCACGCTAGGATCGGGCCCAGGCATGTTTCCGGGAGGAGAGCCCCCGAGTGTGAGCACCCTCGGCCCTTCAGTCCCCTGGGCTGGCTTGCCTGCCGGCAGCTGATGCCTCCTGTGGCCTGGTGTCCTCAGTCTGCACTTCTGACCAGGGCTCCAGGCCCTGCACCCACACGCTCACTATCCTGGGGCACCACCTAGAGGCAGGCCTGCCCCGCAGCATGTTTCCAGTTGGGGTTAACAGCTCTGCCCTCTCTGTTCCAGGCTGGTGGACTAAGCACACCACCCTTGGCCCTTCCTCCCCTGCCACCCCCTCACCTGTCACCCAGTCTGATGAGGTCCCCTTGAAGTTTTTTTTTTTTAAGATTTACTTATTTATGCATATAAGAACTGGGGTGTAGGATGGAGGTGCGGGGGGTGTGGGGGGTGAGAGGATTCACCAGAGACAGAGTGGGGAGCAGAACAGGCAGATCTACTGAAACACACTGCTGAGGGGAGCAGCGGGCGAGATGAGAGAGGTCTGCGCCATGTGGATAGCTTCTGGCCGGGGATCGAACTCGTGCTGCAGTGGTCGTGGACATCTTAACCCCTTGTGCCGCCAGGGAGGCCCCCCTTTAAGTATCTTTTGGCCTGCTTGTTTCTTGCCCTTCCCTCTGCCTTTGCCCTGCTCTTCTCTAGAATCCAGTACTGGTCACTTCCCTGAATGGTCTCCCAGTTATCTTTGTAAAGTTTCAACTTTGAGCTCTGTGTTTCCTTGCTCAGAACACAGCAATGGGTCTCATTTCTTACCGAATAAAGTCCTTCTGTCTTAGCCTGGCATTCAGAACCTCTCACACCCGGTTGCTGTCTCTTTACCTCATGTCACCTCCCTCCTGGAGTCCTGCCCGCCAGGCACTCACCATCTTAGGCCGCAGCCTGCTTTCCTATGTCTGTCTTTGCTCATGTGATTTCTTTCATGTGGACTGTCCATTCTCTAAATCTCTTTTCATTCTCAGGGTGCAGCTCAGTGGCCCCTCAGACTCTGCCAGGAAGGCTTACCCCAACTTAGCCGTCCTCTACCTCTTTTTTTCACGAGTCTGTTGCAGCACGTGACATCATCCCGCCATCACTGGGGCTCACAGTCACACCCACCGTATGTGATTTCCTTGAGAGCAGACTGTATTTTATCCAGATTAGCACCCACTGTCAGGCCTAGCACAGTGTCTGGCACACAGTGGGTGTTTTGTAAATGTTTGTAGAGTGACTAAGTGACAGAAGCCACCAACAGGAAAACTGCAGAAGCTAGGGTCACCTTGTCTTCTCTCAGCTGCTGTCTCCGCTTCTGTACAGGACTCATCCTACTGAGTAAGGCCTGAGAAGAGGTCATCCATTTAGGTGCCAGGGCAGTTGGCAGCCGGTGTTTGTGCTCATGTAGCTGGACACATAAAAGGTGTGCAGCTGGTTAGGGGAGACATGGTTTACACAGGATGTCAGCTGCATGGGTGATCATCATCCTTTCAAATATGTGTCTCATGACAGTATCTACTGGATCAGCAAAACAGTCCTAGATGCAGGTTGAGGAGGCCTCACCCAAGGGAGGCAGCTTTGCTGGGCATGGAATAGAGGCCTCTGGGACAGGGAGGCTGGATGTTGGTTTAGGACAGGGTTCTGGGACAGAGCTAGGGTCTGAGTGGCTCTCCTGGGGCCTCCAAGGCCTAGGGCTGGGCCGCTGGCCTGCTCAGTACTTTGGTGTAGATAAGCAATCCAAGGAGCCAGACCCAGGGAGGGCCTGTGATCATCTGCTCCAAAACCCTCATGTGAGGACCCAGATGGGAATGGACTTGCACAGGGGTGCAGTAAATCAGGGGGGCAGGGACCAAGCCAGGAGCCAGCATCCTCAATGCCACACCGATGTTTGGTTAGAGACAACTGTGTTCAAGTGTCTGGGTACAGGCAGCTCTGGGACTCATAGCTCTGGGCAGGCAGCTCCTGGCCTCACTGTGTACTCGCAAGCTCTTCACAGGTGTGGGTTGGGCTCTAGTTGCTAAGATCTGTGCTCACCTCCCACAGAGGCGTGAGCCAGATGACCAGCCCCTTCCATCCCATGCTGGCTAAAATCTGCTTTTCTGTCCACCTGAGTTTCAGAGCGCCTGGCTGAGATGAGGGTAGCAAGAAGCAGGGACTGTGCAGGCCAGGTTCTCAGCAAGCATGGAGTCCCTGCACAGCCTGTGTTTCCTCCTGCACAGGGAAGTTCAAGCTCCTAGAGCAGGCCCGGGACGTGCGGGAGCCGGTGAGGTACTTCAGCAGCGTGGAAGAGGTGGCCAGTGTCTTCCCCGACCGCATCTTTGTGATGGAAGCCATCACCTTCAGTGTCAAGGTCAGTCTTTCCCGGACCAGGCGTGCTGCTCCCACCTTCCCCCTTCCCTTAGGGGTGACCTGGACCCTAGCCGGAGGGGTGCCAGTAGGGTCCAGGAGACAAGCTCTCATAGTGTGGCCACTGGTTGTCCCTAAAGGGCTTTGGCACAGTTGGGATTGTCACAGCGCTGGATATCCGTGCACTGGATGGAGAAACTTCCTGCAAAAGGTGGTGGAACAGGAGGCAGTGTGTGTGAAGGCTCATGGCCTTTTGGGGCTGCCTGCCCTAGCATCTGCCAGGAGCTGTGGTAGTTGTACTAGGTGCAAATGTATGCAGGTAGCTCTTTACTGTGTGCAAACCCCTTTCACATCGGTCACCCTCTATCTCTCACAGTCACCTTGTTGAATGGATAGGGCATGTGCAAGTTGTAAAGATGTTAGGAAAAGCCATTTATTGACTAATTTCCAAGTATACATAGTCTACATAATTTCACTGTGTACACAGTCTATTTAATGCTTATAGCAACTGTCCCAAGGAAATTATTTCATGACGTAATTAAGGCCCTGGAGGTAACTCATCTGAGGCCAGGGCGAGGGGGGATTGGGGGGGGCTCTTCAGGGTGGAAAGTGGTTCTCCTGACCCCTCACACCCCCTCATCCCTTGCGCTCCATCTGGGCTCAGTCAGTCCTGGGAAGGCTCCAAGAGGCGGCGGCCCTCCTGGGTCCCGGAGGACCTGGCACGGCTGGCTTGCCCTAGGGCCCTGGCTGAGGCCTGCCCTGTCTCTGGGGTCCCCAGGTGGTGTCGGGTGAGTTCAGCGAGGACAGCGAGGTGTACAACTTCACGCTGCACGCGGGCGACGAGCTCACGCTCATGGGCCAGGCGGAGATCCTGTGCGCCAAGACCACCAAGGAGCGCTCGCGCTTCACCACGCTGCTGCGCAAGCTGGGCCGGGCCGGGGCGCTGGCCGGGGTGGGTGGCGGCGGCGGCCCGGGGAGCGCGGGGGCTGGGGCCGGCGGCGGGGGCGCCAGGCCCCTCAAAGGCAAGATGCCCTGCCTCATCTGCATGAACCACCGCACCAACGAGAGCCTGAGCCTGCCCTTCCAGTGCCAGGGCCGCTTCAGCACGCGCAGCCCGCTGGAGCTGCAGATGCAGGAGGGCGAGCACACGGTGCGCGCCATCATCGAGCGCGTGCGCCTCCCGGTGAACGTGCTGGTGCCCAGCCGGCCGCCGCGCAACCCCTACGACCTGCACCCGGTGCGCGAGGGCCACTGCTACAAGCTGGTGAGCATCATCTCCAAGACCGTGGTGCTGGGGCTGGCGCTGCGCCGCGAGGGCCCCGCGCCGCTGCACTTCCTGCTGCTCACGGACACGCCGCGCTTCGCGCTGCCGCAGGGCCTGCTGGCCGGGGACCCGCGCGTCGAGCGCCTGGTGCGCGACAGCGCCTCCTACTGCCGCGAGCGCTTCGACCCCGACGAGTACTCCACGGCCGTGCGCGAGGCGCCCGCCGAGCTCGCCGACGACTGCGCCAGCCCGCGCCGCGCGCGCCTCTGCCTGCCCGCGCCCCCGCGCGCCCCGCGCCCGCGCGCGCCCCCGCGCCGCCCGGCGACGGCGACCAGGAGTACGTGAGCCCCGAGTGGGCCGGCGCGCCCGAGCCCGCCGCGCCGCCCCCCGAGATCCCCTACGAGGAGCTGTGGACGCACCAGGCCGCCGAGGGCCTCGCCGAGGGCCGCGCGCGGCCGCCCCCGGGGCCCGACCTCATCTCCTTCGGGGCCTCCGGCTCGCCCCGCCAGGAGCCCGAGGCGCCGCCGCCTCCCGTGCCCCCAAGTCCGAGGCGGTGAGTGGTGCGCGGAGCGGGGCGCGTGGGAGCCTCTCTCCCGCGGGGAGGTGGCGGCCCGGGCGGGCGGGGGGTGCATGTTTGGGCCTACATGCAAAGTGGGGGCCCCTTGCTGTCCCAGCCGCCAGCCCCGGGGAGGGTTTGTGCCGAGGGGTGCCAGGAAGGCGGCATTGGGAGGCGGGGGGACAGGACGCCAGCGCGTCCTCAGCCGCAGATAATTGGAGGTGAGTCTAGAGCGGTGTTATTATCCAGAAACTTCTGTGCCGCGGGACTCGTAAATCTGTCGAATGAAAGAAGGTTCCACGACGCAGTAGGCTTCGAAAAGGGTCGCTGCCCTCCCCGCCCTCCCGTTGGCGCCCCGGCGGGGTGTAGTAAAGGCTCTGACAAGTCCTGCACCGCCTGCGCTTAGCTGCCTCTCCCCAGGGCGCTGCTCCACAGACCGCGGGCACCTCCCAGCCTCCCGCGAGTCGGCTCCGGGTACTTGAGCTGCAAGGAAGGATCCAGACGGCAGACGCTTCCTTTCCTTTCTCCCTCTGCCGGGTTAAATTTTTTTTTTTTAAAGATTTATTTACTTATTTATACAAGCACTGGGTACAGTCAGAAGCGCGGGAGGGTGAGAGAATTCACCAGAGCCAGAGCGGGGAGCAGAGCAGGCAGAAGGACCGAAGCACACTGCTGAGGGGAGCAGCAGGAGGCAGGAGAGGTCTGCGCGCCATGTGGGACCCTCCTCTGGTGGCTGGGAGCAGCCGGGGATCGAACCGGCGCCGCGGAGGCTGCGGGCAGCTTCGCAGCCCAGCGCTCAACCGCTGCGCCACCGGGGAGGCCCTGCCGGGTTGTTTTTGATCTACTTCCACGCTCCTACGCTCAGGCTCAGGGTGGCTTTCCAAGGCGATAGGAGGCGCTGTCTGTGTCGTGCTCCCTGCATGAGAGAAACGGGCTGCAGAGCCCAGAAGGGGGGGCGGGGGAGCAGTTGAGGTGTCAGGTAAGGTAGCCTCTGCCCAGTGGGTGAGGTGTCAGTCCCAGACACCCCGGGGACAGCGGGACAGCTCCTGAGGACGGGGGTGGAGTCCTGGCCCTCTGCTTGCAGGTGAAGGAGGAGTGCCGCCTGCTCAACGCCCCGCCTGTGCCTCCCCGGGGTGGCAATGGCAGCAGCCGGCTCTCGGGCAGCCCTCCGGTGCCCCCACGCTTCCCCAAGCTGCAGCCTGTCCACTCACCCAGCTCCAGCCTCTCCTACTACTCCTCCGGCCTCCAGGATGGGTGAGCCCCTTCCTTTTCTTGGCGGTGGGTCCTCCTAAGGCCGATGGAGGCACGGGAGGGCTGAGAGGGAACCGGTGCCGAGGAAAGGATGACTAAAGGGTGGGGTGGGAGTTGTCTTGGGGGTTCTTCGGAGGGCGCAGGTGCCTGAGCACTAGCTGAGGAAGAGGGCGCTGCTGTCTAGGGCCTGGGAGTCGGGCCCAGTCAGTCCCTGGGGCTGCCACCTTCCTGCTCAGTTCGCTTCCTGAATGCTGAGGATGGGGTGGGCGCGTTTGTTCTGGTGTCCTCCAGTCTGCGACTCTGCCACAGGGCGGACTGCGCCTCGCTATTTTAAAAATTGTGTGTCCTTCGGTTTAGCTTGTCTTTCCTGGGGGTCTCAGGCCTGGAGGCTGGGGTGCAGGTCAGTGTTGCTGAGATCGCGTGGTGGCCGCTGTGCCCTGGCAGAGGGTAGCTTGCTGCGTGTGTGACTGTAACGCCGTTGGCTCTCCTTGCTCCGCCTCACCTTCCTGCATCCGTCTGTCTCTGCCCACAGGGTGGGCTCCCGCAGTGGCAGTGGCTCTCCGTCGCCGGATGCCTACTCCCTCTATTGCTACCCTTGCACCTGGGGAGACTGCAAGGTGGGCGAGTCCTCTAGCCGCCCACCCCCGGGACCCCTGCCCTCGACCACGCAGCCCAGCCAGGCCTCCTGGGTCCTCACAGAGCCCCTGAGCAGTCGAGCTGCCTCCCTCTTGGGGACTGACAGCCCTGTCAAGACCTACCACAGCTGCCCGCCTCTGTTCAAGCCTGCTCACCCCCAGAAACGCTTTGCTCCTTTTGGAGCTCTCAACCCCTTTTCCGGGCCTGCCTACCCCTCAGGCCCTGCGGCGGCCTCCTCTTCTGGGCCCACAGCCACCTCGGGGCCCCTGGCTACCTCCAGCCCTGCTTATTCCCCAGGCCCAGGCTCTCCAGGCCAGACTTTTGCAGCTGCTCCCACCTCCTCCTGCCCTACCTCCTCCTCCTCTTCCTCTGAGTGGCAGGAACCAGTCCTGGAGTCCTTTGATCCCTTTGAGCTGGGGCAGGGCAGCTCTCCAGAGCCCGAGCTGCTGCGCTGTCAGGAGCCCAGAGCTGCGGGGGCATCTGGGCCTGGACCCTGTCTTTCACCACTTGGCCCTCCCAAGGCCTTTGAGGCTGAAGGTTTGGTGCTGCGGCAGGTCCCTGCCCCACTGTCACCAGCGGCCCTGCAGGGGCCGGAGGCAGGCGGAACTCGACTCCTTCTCACCCAAGGGCGCCTGGAAGGGCCTCCTGCCAGTCCTCGGGATGGTGCTGCAGGCTGGGGAGGCCGGGATGCGTCCTCCTGGCAGCCCCCCGCTGACCTGTCTGCACTCTCTCTGGAGGAAGTCTCTCGAAGTCTGCGTTTCATAGGGCTCTCAGAGGATGTGGTGAGCTTCTTCGCCCGAGAACGCATTGATGGCAGCATCTTTGTCCAGCTCAGTGAGGACATCCTGGCTGACGACTTCCACCTCACCAAGCTGCAGGTCAAGAAGATCATGCAGTTCATCAAAGGCTGGCGGCCCAAGATCTGACCTTCCCCGTGGGCAGCTGCACAACTTGGCAGGCTGGCCAAGAGGCCCTGGGGCCAGCCGCGGCTGCAGGGGCAGCACTCCCGGAGCTGGGGAGAAGGGATGCCAAGACTGAGGCTGCTAGGCTGCCAGAGTGACTCCAGGGAGACACACTTGGAAATGGGGTCCTCTGGGGCCAGGCCCCTGCGTGGAACGTCTTGCCTTCGAGGGGGAAAGGACTGGAGGCACCACTGCCATGTGGGCCTGGTGACTCTTGCCATGATTCCCAGGGAGGAGGGTGAAAGCTGGCCTTCATGGTGCCCTCACCCCTTCGCAACCCCTGCTGCGGAGCTTCAGACATCTTGCACTTCTTGAACTTGTAGGTTCAGGTTAGAGACAGGGAGGAGGGTCCGTAACCTAAGCACAAATTCCCCAAGTGCCCTCTCCTTTGCGCTCTGTGGGCATTTGGTGGAAGCTGCCTGAGTCAGAGTGGTGATTTCTGGATCTCTGGGGTGCCCTTCCTTCCCCCTGCTGCTCCACCACAATGCAGGGCCAGACCCTGAGCACAGAAATGTCAAGTGCAAGCCTGTGGCCCCGCACTGCTGAGGCTCTGCCTCTGGGTTCTGGCTCGTGGAAGAGCACAGCTCTGCTGTTGACCTACTGATCTCCTTAGGGAGGCAGATGCACCCCCACTCGCTGTGCCTCTAGCACCCTCACTTCTGCCCTGAGCTCCAGCCAACTGGCCCTCCATCCTGCCAGGGTGGGTCCCGTCCGGGATGATTGTGCCACCATGGAAGAGCAGATTGTGGGCAGCTGCTCCTTGATTCGAGAGACAGGTGGCCTCGGTCATTCCAGTCTCCTGTCCCCATCACCCGACTGTGGCAAACACGATGTCTTTCCCTGGTTTTCTGTCACTGCCACAGGAGGGTATAGATGGGAAAGCATGTGGTGTGGGGAAATTGACCTTTCCTTTCCCTGTGGAACTCAGTCCTGGGCTTAGCCACATGCTTCAAAGCAGGCCTGCATGCCCTGGAATGGGGCTCTGCTGGGCACCCAGCATGCTGCCATTGTGTACAACCACCCCGGACTGTGCCCGCCGGCTCCCCTACCCAGAGCCATAGAGTGTCCTCATGACCACGGTGTCAGGCCCAGAGGGACAGCGTTTTCTGCCTTACCTAGCCTGTCTAGATATTTATTTCCTCTACTTTTCTGTCTTAAGAGTAGCGAAGCCACACTGGTGCTCATGCCCCAAGCAGGCTGCCTCAGCTCTGAGGCCAGGGGAGCAGAAACTGATGCCGAGGCATCTGCTTTTCTAGCTGGTCACATCCTGAATCCTCAATGACTAGAGAAATAAACTCAAGCCACTGAAGCATAGTGCAAGTGGAGCCCTGGGTGTCACCGCTTGCTTCTTTTGGAGACCGTGGGGATGACAGGCTGCTGCACACAGGCGGGCAGGAGAGGACTCTGGAATGGGGGGGTGGGTGTTCCGTTTGTCTGTTCCCTGGAGGCAGCTGCTAGCGCTAGCCCTTGTGCCTTTCTGAATGCCCCTCACCAGCCCCAGCCTTAAGAGAATCTTCCAACTCCCACGAATGTTTCACAATTCACACTTACCTCGTGCCACTGAACGGAAGTCCAGACTTAAAGATGAGTGCCGCTAGCCAGGGCCCAAATTTACTGTCCCACCTAAGAGGCCTGTTAATCTGTTAATGGCCTTGCGCAGAGGACCAGTTCTCTATCTTCCAAAGGCTGTCTGGTAACTACCACTGAGAGATGACTTGGCATTAGAGTCTGGCTCCCTTGCAACCAATGTCAGTGTGTAGTAGCACCAGGGCGAGGCTCCTGGCCTGCTATCCTGGGACCGGGAGCAGAGACAGGAGTCATCACTGGTCTCATCACATCATGGGACCTGAGTTGATTCCACACACACTCAGTGTGCATCCTTCTGCTGACCCAGTCAGGAGCCCAACACTGCTCACCAGACCACTGCTGTGCCCAGGGGTGGGGGGAGCGGCAGAGGTGCAAGTAGCAGGAGGGAGGTGGTGGGGTGGATGGGCGTCGGGGTACCGCTCACCTGAGCCACCGGATCACTATGTGAGCACCGTCTAGGCCCTGGAGCAGTCAAGACATACGGGTGTACTCGACAGGAAGTTGTCTCTTCAACTGCCTAACTCCAGTTTTCCCACAAACACTCTGGGGAACACACAGGAATGAGTGACCTCAGAAAAAAGCTGGGTAAAAGCGGGCACAAGGAAATGCAATTTGGGGAAGAGCCTCATATTCTACTCCGGCTCTGCTGCACTAGGGCCGCCTCCCTGCTGTAAGCAGGCGCCCGGCCCAAGCTCTTCAGTGCAGTCAGGTTTGGTGGCTTTAGGGTCACTGAGTCCCACATCCTCTCATCAGTCTCTTGTAAGCTGCTGCCTAGAACCCTCCCAACATTCTCACCCCCAAAGCACAGGAATTCATTCCAGCCACTCCTTGAGGGACAGTTTAAATCAGAAGGGCAAAGATAAAAAGGAACAGGGGGGCAGAGAGGCTGATGAAAAGTCTGGGTTTTATTGATATGCGTTTGGCTGGGTGCAGAAATGCTCTCACCACCGCTGCTCACCACTGGCCTCTGGGGAGGAACAGGCTCCAGAGACGCTGCCGCTTTGGGCCTTGGGGCCCAGGAATTCATGGGCATAGTGGGCTCCACCTTCCAGCATGAAGTGCAAACTAATTCACAGCCAGACTTCACCAGGAGGAAGACGGTTAGAGCTGAAGGCACTTCAATCAAGGTGCACACCCAATGCCAGAGTTTGCTTTCCCTCTGGCTACTCTGATAAATCTAGTCACTCAGTTGGAGAACCAGCATGGGGGTTAGTGTGTAGGAATCAGGCCCATCGGCCTGCTCACTGGTAAAACTTCTTGTTAGGGCTGTTAGCGTGGTCAAGGAGCAGCTGGCACGGGGTGAACTGCTTTCCGTAGGCAGCCTCATACTTCCTGAGCCGGTCTACTATCTTCTGGGCACCATACAGATCCACAAAGCGGAAAGGCCCTAAATGGAGAAACAGGGCTTTGCTGAAGGAGAGCAACAAGGACTCTGGGATAAAGCGAGTTACCTTCCCAACTTGCAGCACCAACCTCCAAGGCAGGGGGGGAAGCCAAGCCCAAAGACGGCCCCGATGTCTCCCTCCGCAGGAGTGGCCAAGATCCCTTCCTGCAGGCACAGGGCTGCCTCATTCACGAATCGGGTCACCAGGCGGTACTGGACGTCTTCATCAGAGGCGCTGCCGACAGGGAGACATTCATGCAGAGAGTAAAGGAAGAGCAAGGCAGGACGTGCAGGTGCAGAACGTGAATGAGGGCTGGGGCTGGTGGGGCCGCAGGCAGCGGAGAACTCCTTGCCCTAATTAACCTGAAATCGAGCCCCCTCTCAAGGGTGTGGTGCAGCCCCTACCCTTACGCTTGGCAGAGAACCAGGTGGCATGTGAAGGGCAGAGTATACGGCCCTGTGCCTCATCAGGCACGGTGGCTGTGACAGAGAGGATGGAAGGCAGCGGGGCGGCTGTGGGCTGAGGAGAACAGGTCTGCATGGCATGGGTCAAGTTAACTTACACCTCAGGCTTAGCAGGCACCTTCAGACCTGCCAAAATACCATCCATGTCGGAATTCAAACTCTTATTCTTCACACCTTCCTGGTAGATGTAAAAACCCTTCCCAGACTTGCGACCTAAAAGCAGCAAAAAAAAAAAAAAAAAAAGAGTTCTCACTCCTGGCTTGAGAATCCTCATCTCTACTATTTCTTAGAAAATAGTCTCTCATCTGTATCCCTGAATTTGTATACCTAACCCCAGAAATTTAGTTTGGTAGAGAAGGAAGAAATATCTTGTGTTTCTTGGAGCTTGGTAATCTGTCTATCTGGATGAGAAAGGCCACTTGGGTGGGTTTTAAATGTCCAGACACAGAACACCAGACCTTAGGATGCCAAGGGTCTATTGTGGATTTTGCTTTTACTTTGCCAAGAGAGGAAGCCACCTCTCTGGTGGGCCTTGACGATACACTCTTAGACTCAGAGATTTTACTTGCTCCACCCAGGTGGCCAGACACCATGGTGCTGCCTGCAAGCAGAGCTTGCTCACAGCGTCACAGATGCCAGAGAGGCTTGAACTGGATAAAAATCCCAGCTATATGGCACAAATTGGCAGGTAACAGCAAAGCCTCAGAAGGTCAGAGTTCTGCCTTTCCCCCATAAACTGCAGGCCCAGCCTAAGAAGTTTTCACGAAATCATTTTTGAAATTCCCTGCAATAGTGCGCTCTATGTTTAGGAACTACTCTTCCACATGGGCTTCTAGACTCTTTGTGACTGATGGTGCTAATTATATTTTCTTGAGATTACTCACCCAGGAAGCCTTTGGACACCATCTGTTTCAGCAGTTCTAAGCTTCCACCTTCAAATCGCTCCCCAAAGGCTTTGCCTAGATCTTCTGCTACATGCTTCGCTACATCCACACCAACTTCATCCACCAATGTGGCAGCACCCACAGGAAAGCCGAAGCTTGTGGTTAGGGCGTCCAGCTTCTTAGGGTCAATACCCTCCTGAACAGGAGGAAAAGTGGGGATGTCAGGGGAAGGCCATCCCTGATCTGGCACAAAGGCTCCCTGTGCTGGTCTCAGTCACAGTCTCGTGCAATACCCACTTCGCTTCTGGGTGGCCCCTGGTCCGGCCCAGGGCTGGGGCTGTGTCTTTAAGGGAGGCACAGGATAAAGCCCGAGCCTTCCCTAATCTGTAACACTTCAAGGAGGTCTAGAGACCAGCAAATTATTCATGCCCTTCTTGTTTGTAACTCTGATTCTCAGTGGCAAGATTCCATAGCAGACAAGGCTAAGTTTCACAGGATGGAGGGATGTCACCAAGCAGCTGTGCAGCAGAGCCCCACGATCCCTGTGTCTGGGTCAGTGCCCAGTGAGAGGTAATTTGTATCTGGATGGGAAAGGCTACTTGGGTGAGTTTTAAATGTCCAGACACGCAACACCAGTTCTTAGAATGCCAAAGGCCTAGCCTGGATTTTGGTTCTAGTTTGTTACGAGACGAAGCCACCTGTCTGGTGGGTCTTGATGGTACACTCTTAGAATCACAGGTTTTACTCGTTCCACCCACGTGGCCCCCTTTTCTGCTAGTGATGGACTGTACAGCCACTGAAAGGGTCTGTGTGCAGCAGAAACAAATTCAGCACCAGTCAGACCAAGTGGGCCCCAGTTCTGCATAGTCCTTACCTCAAAGGGGATGCTGAAAAGGCACCTAACAGTATGTTGGGAGGTCTTTGACCTAGTGGAGCATGGGGGAAGCGAAGGAGCAGTGCTAAATTCTGTCCAAGTGTTACAACTCTTTTAGAATTTATCTAGCAGGTTTTCTGATCCTTACTGGGAAACCCTCTTCCCCCCAAAAAAATTTCTGTCCATTTTAGTGCAGCATAAGCCCACGACTGGCTACACTGGATACAAAGAGAAGGCACAAAGGGCCTTCTTGGAGAAGAGTCAGGACTTAGTAGATTAACAGGAAACTTGATCCTCATTGTGATATCAGTTTGGAGGACTAGTTTAAGAAAAAGATGCGAGAGCGATACCAACCTGGAGAATTCTGATGACTTCTGACATCATGGGCGCAAGACACCTGGTGGTATAGAAGCCAGGTCCATCCTGCCAAGGAAGAGAACGTGAGCTCACTGGCCTCTCTCTTGTGGTTACTATCTGAGTTTGAAAGCAGTCTCAAAATTCATTTCAACATTCAAGGTGATTTAAAATCTCAATCAGAATCCTTAAAAGTAAAATGCAGGCAAAACCACAGCCAGGTACAGTCTGGTTTGAATCCAAAAGCACAGCAAAGAGTTTCACGGTCACCTGAAAGGCCTGGAGTGGCTGAGAGAACCTAAGACATTCCAGACACTCCCACCTCCAACCCTGACTTAGGAGTCCAGTCAACACCACTTGTCCATGCTATAGGTGACACGGGAAGTCAGGGAAGCCAGTGTATCTGTGCCAGAATTACAAACCCGGAGGTGTACGGCGTCTGAACAGAACCTCTCTAACTCCACCTGTCACACAGATCCTCACCTTAACCACGATGATGACCTTCCCCTGCTTGAGACCAACCGCGACAGCAGAAGCAGTTGTGTCTTTTGAAGTTTTGTCAGTTGTGATAATCTCCAGGAGCTGCATCTTGTCCACAGGAGAGAAGTAGTGCATGCCAATTACCTGGCCGGGGGGACAGAGAGATTTAAGAAAGATTTAAATCAGAGCTTTCCTTTCTGCTGGGAAATTGAGGCTGTTGAGATACAGAAACACATGATGCCATCCAGGGGCTTGGTTCCATGGTTCTGTGGTAAAACGTTTACTATATTCAGGGAGAGGTTACTGGAACCCCCTCTTCTACTTGCTACCAGGGCTTTGCACCAGGGGTGCATAATGCTATCAACAATTAGTGCCACAGTCACAGCTAAAGGTCAATTAGATTTACTGAGATGAATGAAGGTTCCAGCTGTATTAATGATGATGATGGTTTAGGTGACAGAGTCACTTTGTGGGAAGAGGGGGGAAGTAGTATGCTGGGCTGTTAGAGAGATGTATCTGGATTTTACACAGACAGGTCTTATCACCAGGAGACAGGGTTTAAATAACATTTCTCAACACTCAAATGCATGTGAAGACTCACTAAACTAATGAGTGTCAAAATGAAGTTTTGGGCCAGCAGCATTAGCACCACCTAGGACTGTTAGAACTGCAAATTCTCAGGCCCTCCCTAGACCTACTGAACGAGAAACTCTAGGGGCAGTGTGCAGATCTATGTTCAGAAAGCCTTCTAGGTGATTCTGATACATGCTCACATTTGAGAACCACCTCATTAAACTAACAATTACAGTCTTCACAACTGTATTGTCTATTCATCAATTTATAGTTTGCTCCCCTCCCCACGTTAGCTATCATTAATATCGCCATTTATTGACTGCTTACTACCCACTGTTCTTTAATGATACATTTATCACTTATTCCTTATATTTAATTCAT